AATGAAATAGGCTGCGAGGTCTGTGCACGCTTCTTGAGTTCTTCGCACCCGAGGCAGTATCGCCTCCTTACTTCTCAGGAGACTCCAGCCTATAATTCAGCAGAAGTTCAAGTCTGCCGGGGTAACAGGGTCGGTCTCAGGTATTGGGTATATCTGCTTGGTGTCCAACATACCACCTCGTCAGTACCGCGAGGCTATCACACATCAAAACAGATCCGCCGTCGGGTTACATAAGCAAACCCGTACATCAATCTTCATCGACAGACTTTAGTGGTTTTCCACAAGTTTTACATCCCCACTTCTTACCAATATTATAAAGTTTGTGTGGATGTATGGATGTTTGCTACTCGTTCACGCAAAAATGGCTAATAGGGACTGGATGAAATTTGGCATAGAGATAGATTCATCAACAGCTTTTACTAGTCCACTGCTGGAAAGGAGGTTTTGGCCTACTATACCACGCTGGCCAGACGGGTTGATATAGGGTTTGTGTCAAGTTTTCCTTCTCTCTGCAGTGCTGTTGTTCTGCGTAGTTTTCTCCCTTAGTCGTCTCTTACGACACCCACGGGATGAATAGGGGTGGTGACACTCTGTATTCTTAATCCGTCACCACACGGACGGTATCTAATAAATAATAGATAAGCATACAGTATACAGTTAGCAACAACTGTTTAATATGCGATGAAATTATTTAATTCTACAATGTCTTTATTGTTTAAGTTTTTTATTCTATTTGAGGGGCCTGTTGGTCTAGTGGTTAGTGACCCTGACTGCTAAACCGGAAGTCTTGGATTGGATGCCCACCCAGGACAAATATTGTGTGAAGAGCACGGTAATTTGTTCTGTATCTGGGTGTAATTTATCTATAATATGTATGTATTTAAAAATATATAAGTATGTTTATCAACAGTCTGGTTACCATAGTACAGGCTCTGCCTAGTTTGGGATCAGACGGCCGTGTGTGAGATGTGTCAGATATATTATTATTATATTTTATATTTTTATGACAATATAATTAATTAATTATATTTATTGTGATACTTGACCCTGTAGTCTGAACACATAAGGTAGAAATTTGTAAAGGGAAGTGAATATTATTTTATATTTTCAAACATTGTAAATTTTTTATGGTATAAGGGAAAATGACGACTGTATGGCGTAGTGGTTTGTATAACGGACTGCTATTCTAATGGTCGCGGGTTCGATTCCCGCTCAAGTCAAACATTTGTGTGCATGAACATTTGATGTTTGATTTGGTCTCGGTGTTTCTATGTATAATATGTATGTATTTACAAAAAAAAAGTATATATGTATTTATATCAGTTGTATAGTACCCATAGTACAAGCTTTGCTTAGTTTGGGACTAGATGGCGTTGTGTGTATGTGGTAGAATATATATTATAATGAAGGGTCACTTTGTGGTAAGTGATTACCGCGGCCCACGGATACTTACAACTCAAGAGTTTCAAGTGCGTTGCGGCCCATTGAATCCTTCACCCTTCCACCCCTTTTTTTTTTTTCTTTTTTTTTTCCGTGTGGAAATCCCCTCGGATACCACCTGTCGGTGGCATGTCGGACTCGAACCGACTAAAACCGCACGCCGTCTCGGGTACTAATAGCCGGGGAACCAGGTATACCCTAGAAAGGAAGTCCCTGGTACACCCTTCCACCCCTAGAATCATTTCTGCTTCGGTGAGATTTTGTTATTTTGTTAAAAAAGCCAACTCACGCATTAGGAATATATCCTGTGTCACGGTGGACTTTACAAACATACATGAAACGGACACAAAGAAAACCCAGACTCAGAACAACAATTTATGGATCACACAAAGTGTCGTCCCATGTGGGGATCGAACCCACAACACTCAGCGTAGTAGGAAGCGGCATGGCGACCGCTACTACTAAGCCAGCCCGGTTTTCTGTGAGGCGTGGTACCCCTCCGGTCGAAACGACTCATTTGTGCCGACGCACTATGGAAAATCGAAGTCTGTTTCAGATAAAAAAATCGATAACTTTTTTATTCGTCGAGAAAGATTATATTTTAAAAATGGTGAAAACAAAAAGTTTTAAGAAATGACCTTTATTTTATTTTCTTAGGGTCAACACTATTTATATATTTAATATAACGTTATTATTAAATATATAAAACTATAATATTCAAGCAAGTTACCAATTTAAATAAGTAATTAAGTTGTGATTTAAAAAATTATTTCATAAAATATTCAAAGTTACAAAATACTAATTTATAAGTAAAATATACCACAATCTGTGGAACGGTTTATCGTCTACCGCAGACGTGTCTGGACCGAAACGAAACTTCAAAAAACCTGCAAGAAAAGAGCTTCCTAAAAAGCCGGCGTTTGTGACTCCTGAGTTGCGTTGAGCCACTTTCCATCAGGTGACTCGTCTTCTCGTCTGCCCCCTCTAACATAAAAAAAATGTATAATAATAGTTAGGCACTCATCATCATCATCAACAGCCTTTAATAGTCCACTGCTGGACATAAGCCTCTCCTGGGAAAGGAGGAAGGAGTTAGGCACTAAAGATGTAATAAACAAATTAGCATCAGAAATAAGTTCAGACTCCTCTGGAAGTTTTTGTTTGTACTGACTCTGACCAGATGAATCTTCACATTCCCATTTGCTGTATAAAATTAAATGGCTGAATTCATTCTTATTCACCGAATCTATAGTTAGAATTTTTTGTTGATTCTGACGAGTCGTCATAAGAGACACAGGGTCTTTAGCGTTTTCCAGAAGAAGTAAATAACGTAATATCAGGTGTTACTTCTGAGTTTGGTACCAAATATTCTAAATCCAACCAATCGTTGTACTTTTTTTAAATGTATCCTTTTTCCTGGACGTTTCCGCCCATGGTCTATTAAAGCGAGGAATAAGATTCCTCTGAATATCACTGATAATAAAACACATGTCTTTTCAGAAACATTTTAGTTTGCTATAAAACCAAGACTTTTTTCTCCTTGAACGTATGAAAGTAATAATTCACGCTTAGAACACTTGAAAGTACGGACATTTTGAAATTCAGCGTAGATACGAAACAGTCAAGTGTCTGTTTAGTTTATTACGAATTTGTAGCCACTTTAAAGGAAGCCTTTAAAGGATGAAGAAGAAGCCCAAAATCGATCTAAGTGGCGTGCAATGGGAGAGGCCTATGTCCAGCAGTGGACTGCGATAGGCTGATGATGATGAAAGGAAGCCATTTTTTATATATTATTTGATAAATGAGGTTGGTGTGCATTTTTTAAATTAAAATTGCCCGCAAACTGAGTGCAAAATTTAGATAAAACAACTAATATTGAATAAAAATATACCGCAAACTAATGAATTAAATAGTTAGACAATAGAAACCTCAATATACAGTAGTTTTCTGTTGCCTGACTTGTATGATACTTTTCGTATATACGATACGTATCCGCAACTCATTTTTATAACTGTTATTTATAAATATAAACGTAACAAAAGAACATCAAACATAAAGTGTCGGGAGTTGTCGGTAGCTGACAAAAGCCTCGATGAAGTTAAAAATATAGAAAATAAAATATAGAAATATAATTTTAAAACCTACAATATTATAACTGCTTTAAAATCTACATATAACGGGCTTATTAGAAATGTATAAACCTTTATAACTATTTCCGCATTTTTTTGAAATAAATTAATTTTAAAGTATTGAAGCGAACAAACCTGTAACAGACATTAAGAATAACACTTTGTGGTATTAAAAAAATATATTCCAAATGTAATTCGTACCAAGTCACTACATTATATTAAAGTTCCATTCTTATACTATTTAATATTGTCTGTGTGGTGACGGATGAAGAATACAGAGTGACACCACCTCCAGTCATCCCGTGGGTGTCGTAAGAGCCGACTAAGGGAGCAAACTACGCAGGACAACATAATAAAATACAAGAAATCAAACATACTGCAAAGAGAAGGAAAACTTGAAGAAACCAACCAACCCGTCTGGTCAGTGTGGTATAGTAGGCCAAAACCTCCTTTCTAAGGAGAGGCCTATGTCCAGCAGTGGACTATTACAGGCTGTTGATGATGATGATGATGATGACTATTCAATAAACTTTTAAATGTGTCAATAACGATATTAGTAAATACGATTTTTGATATGCCGTTGTTCTGCCGTTTTCTATAGAGCGACGCCTGGCTCTCCCACGCCTTATAAGAAGTGGGAGATCGATTTACCAAGAAATCTATATCTCTGGTGGAGAAGTGAGTGTGTCGACATTTGATAACGACTATTAGCTTTTGCCCTCGGCTCCGTCCGTGCGTCTTTCGGTTAGCCTATGTCCTTCCTCAAGAATCAAACTATCTCCATAAAAATCATTTAGCGGTTATTGATTCCTTATACAAACTTCCATCCCCCTTTTCCATGATTTCTGGGTTAAAAACTTTCCCAAAACTCAAACTATCTCTATACCAAATTTCATCTAAATCGATTCAGCTGTTTTAGCGTGAAGAGGTAATAGACAGACAGACACACTTTCGCATTTATAGTATTAGTATGGATAGTATATATTATTATAGTAAATGACGCTGACTAAGAATCAAACCTGCGAGAATTCACGCATACGGATATTTTCTAAATGATTAACTTTAGATCATTCTTACCAAATTGCTGCTAAAAATCTCAACTTGACAATAATGTCGAGATATGAACCTGAGATCTCGCGATCACAAAAGCACTCGCGTGAACTAACGAAAAGATATTACAACAATCAATGATAACTGCCCGCGTCGTTTAACAGTCACGTTCATGGCTGGTGACGTACAATGCGTGCAAAGGCTCAATGTTAAATAAAAACCCTTGCGCGGACACGCGCGTTCAGAGTTGCGATTGCGCAGCGCCCGAGCGCTAATTGAAAATCGATCTTTTTGAAAATCGAATAATAAGTATTTTTTTTCTTTTGACAATTTTTTTATATTTTTTTTATTAGCCAGTGTATTATAGACTGTGGAATAAAAATGAATTTGTTATTAAAAATAGGTTTGTTATCGTTGTTTGGTGTTTTCTGTGAGGCGGAATTAAAAAAGGAAGTTTTTCTGTCAGTGGTGAGTACCTGCAGGAGCAAAAATATATTTTCATTTAGTGTCTTAGTAATATTTATTGGTAACTAACTGTACCCGGCATGCGTAGCATGTAAATTACAAAAAAAAAACTGAGGAAAAAATTAAATCATTCATAAATATATTTTCGGGTCCAAGAACCTAGGCGTCCCCAGAACACGCCACTAATGTTTCATCGGAACGTTTAGAGGACAAAACATACAAACATTGATTTTTATTTTTATAAATATCATGGATATTTTCTCATCAATAAACAACTAACTTAATTTAATTTACGGATTTGAATATGTAGACGCATTATTATTTTGAGCATATTGCGGTGGAGATATTGGGCAGTTGGGGGTCGGAAACTTTAATTGCGGAGATTGGTCGACGAGTTACGGATAAAGGTGATGACTCCCGCTCCAGCTCGTTCCTGGTGCAATGGATGTCCGACGCTATCCAGTGAGGCAATGCTACCAGTATCATGGGCACCCTTGCCCCGGGATCGATGCGGAACGGGTTATATGAATTTTACTATTATTATTCATGAATACAGTATTGTTTAAAAAAAAATAACTTACCTATATAATCAATTAAATTAAAATTTAACTTAACTTATTGAAATGTTATTATACTAGTATAGCTTATTGAATATAACAAAAGCTTTGTTTTAACTTAATTATTTATAATTTGTGTAATAATAATATAGATCTGATTCCTATTATATTTAAGTTTTAATGCATGTTGAGATCTTGTGTAATTAGAGGATACGAAAGATCAATAATCTGTTACTTATCATGATTGCTATGTGATATTCTTATTAAAGATCCATTTAATAAATTAACAAAAGATAAAGAGCGTAAAAAAGTTTAGAAATTCTATAAGCGACTAGGTTTTTGACTTGCGTAGAAGTATTTTTTCCATGTCTTTTAAACTTCGTTTCTGGATAAAAGATACCTTATTTTAAAGGCCTGTTGGTCTAGTCACCCTGACTGCTAAGTGGTCACGGGTTCGATTGCCGTGCAGGACAAATAATTGTTTGATGAGCACGATTATTTATTGAGTGATATATGTCTATAATATGTAAGTATATAAACAGATAGATGCACTTTATTGCACATCAAGGTTAGAAAACATACAAATGCAGAATACATACAATAAAAAAAAATTAAAAACAAAATAGCTGTAAAATGGGCGACCTTATCGTAGTCTGTGATCTCTTTGAGGCTCTCTATGTATTTAGAAATATACTGGTTAAGTAGACCTAGAAGCTTTAGGGGGCTGTAGTCCGCAGAACGACCTCCGTCCTCCATAAGCGCAGGCCTGGGGGTGACAGGTGAGGCCATCTGTCACCCTAGCAGAAGCAGGCCGGGGTGGCGGCGAGCGCGTTGCGAAGCGCGCTCGCTTCCAGGGAGCACAGGGAACATGGGGTTCCCACACGGGGGGGGGGTCGTCTACTCGTCTGTAGATGACCCGAGGTATGTCGGGGTACCAGGGACTTCCTTTCTAGGATATACCTGGTTCCCCGGCTATTAGTACCCGAGACGGCGTGCGGTTTTAGTCGGTTCGAGTCCGACATGCCACCGATAGGTGGTATCCAAGGGGATTTCCGCACGAAAAAAAAAAAAAAGGGGGCTGTAGTTGCCATCATTTCTGATAGATTTTACTATGAAATACCATATCCCAAACCTAACCATTTACAAAATATCGAACTTTTAAGATTTAAAAAAAATCATCATCATCAACAGCCATTACTAGTCCACTGCTGGACATAGGCCTCTCCTTAGAAAGGAGGGTTTGGCCTACTATACCACGCTGGCCAGACGGTTTGGTATAGAGTTTGTTTCAAGTTTTCCTTCTCTTTGCAGTGCTGTTGCCCTGCGTAGTTTGTTCTCTTAGTCGGCTCTTACGACACCCACGGAATGAATAGGGGTGATGATATTCCGTATTCTTAATCCGTCACCGGACAGACGAAAAATTACATTTGCCTAATACAATTTTTTTTACAACTTATTTCCTGCTTGGTTTTGTGACGTTAATACATTGTTTTTTAATTACCAATAGTTGACTTAACAAATTGTACTTAACAAGTAGATGGTTGATAATAACAAAAATATGTTTTTTTTTTTGGTATATTACTCAGCAGTCTGGTTGCCAGGGTGCAGGCTCTGATTAGCTTGGGATCAAAGTCAAAGTTATAATTATTATTATGCAATACCTTATACCAAAACCTCCTTTCTAAGGAGAGGTCTATGTCCAGCAGTGGACTATTATAGGCTGTGATGTGCTGTTGGCAGTGGAAGCGTATGATCTGCACATAATTGTTTAGGAGTTTGGGTGTTTTCTATGTATAATATGTATGTATTTACAAAAAAAAAGTATATAGCTATTCTATCAGTCAATCTAGCTTTCATAGTACAAGCTCTGCTTAGTTTGAAACTAGATGGCGTTGTGTGTTAGATGTACGAAATATAAAAAAGTTATGTATTTATTTATTGTCGGAGGAGGCTAATATGTATTGGATTTTCAAGTAAAAAAATTGCAGTGATAATCTTGTACTCTGAGCCCATAAGGTAGAAATTTATAACGGGAAGTGAATATTAGTTAATATTTTCAAACATTGTACCTACACTCACAATTTTTTTATGGCATAAATGGCAAACGATCAAACAAGTTCCCTGATGATAAGTGCCACCCACCACCCATGGACGCCTGCAACTCGAGAGCTACAAATGCCGCCTTTTAAGCCTACCCTCCAGAATATGTCGATTTGTCGGTTTTTTATTTTATTTAGAAAGACAACTACCGCTCTATAGATTTTTGTTGCTCTTTTAAAACCGCTAAACGGATCTCAATGAAATTTGTTACAGTGATAGATTACCGTCTGGAATAGCACCTAGGCTACTTTTTATCCAGAAAAAATGTAAGGTTCATGTAGAATGGGCAAGGTACAACAACAACCGCGGGAGACACCGCTATTTATTTTTTTAAGACAACTCCCGCATTGTGTCGGGGGGAACATTACAAACATACATGAAACGGACACAAAGAACACCCTGACTCAGAACGACAATTTGTAGATCACACAAAATGTCGTCCCCATGTGGGGATAGAACCCACAACACTCAGCATAGTAGAAAGCGGCTTGGCGACCACTTAAACCACTGCGCCATCCGTGCAGTCAATTCAGTCAGATAGAGGAGAGAGTTTAGGACTCCTGTAATCTTACTCACTCAGTGATAAGTAGACCTAGAATTCATTGCTACTTATAAATCGTATTAGTTTGATGAAATTATTGATTTTAGTCACAGCGATTTCACCTGTGGTTGCGATTTCGTTATAAACAAAAAAATAAATGGCATTATATACAATCAAAAATTATTTTTATCAAAGATTACGACTTTTTTTTAGATTTAGACCTTTCGTGGGTCGTGCGCTAACGTAATAATAATAATTAAGTACCAGTGGTTTTGTAAATTAGTCACAGGTGTGATGATATGATTTATCTCATGTGATTGTGATTTTCGTCCATGCTTTGTAAAAAGCAACAAAATAATTCCTTAACACCGGTCTTTTGTGAAGCCCTGGTATCACTCTGATCGAGCAGGCCTATTCTTGCCGAAGAATAGGTCTCGATCGGTAAATTAGTTTAGGAGATTTGCGATTAGAAACAAACAAAGGCTATTGTTAACATTTATATATTTTTATAAATATATTAACCAGTAGTTTTCGTTGTCGTATATTTTTTTGTTTTTTATTTATTGTAAATGTTTTTGAAAGCCTTTGTTGATAATTAACTGAATTGTATTTATTTATTTAAAAGTGTTTTCATAAACATGTTCAAATAATATCATTTTTTTGTATTATTATCATTAGCATGACGGGCCTGTTGGTCTAGTGGTTAGTGACTCGCCTACGCTACGCCGGAGGCCATGGGTTCGATTCCCACCCAGGACAAATATTGTGTGATGAGCACGATCATTTGTTCTGTGTCTGGATGTAATTTATCTATAACATGTATGTATTCAGGAATATGTAAGTATGTTTATCAGTAGTCTGGTTACCATAGTACAGGCTCTGCCTAGTTTGGGATCAGACTTCCGTGTGTGAGATGTGTAAAATTGGTATTGCTAAGTACTAATTATATTAAAGGTTGCAAAAAAAATTACTGAACAAGAATCGAACCCATAACCTTAAATATGAGATAGCCACCTCGCCATTATAATAGGATTATAAAAACAAATATACTTTTTTTGCGGTGACGGGGTGGAAAATCTCTTCGGATCTGCGGTTCCTTGGGGACTCAGGAGCCCTCCTGGCTTTGTGATGTTTCCACTAAAAACAGGAGTAATTAAATAAGTGATGCAGAGCAGGTTATAACTATTTTTTTAACCGGCAGTTTTAATTCAAAACCGATGCTGATTGAAAATATCAAAATAAACACATTTCTTGTTTATTTTACTTTTGTTTGATTCAATAACTGGTTAGTAACAAATGATGATGTCCGTGTAGTGACTGATTAAGAATACGGAATGTCACTACCCCAATTCATCCCGTGGGTGTCGTAAGAGCCGACTAAGGGCGCAAAACAACGCAGGACACCAGCACTGCCAAAAGAAGAAAAACTTGACACAAAAACTATACCAACCCGTCTGGCCATCGTGGTATAGTAGGCCAAAACCTCCTTTCTAAGGAGAGGCTTATGTCCAGCAGTGGACTATTAAAGGCTGTTGATGTGATGATAGTAAGCATAATTTACATAATTTTTAACTGTTTATTTCAACAATTTTAGATTTCTTCACTTCCTCTACATGATATAAACGTTAAGCACTACAAATATAGTTTACTTGAGGCAGTGAGGCATATATTTTTTTTATTGTACAAAGAATTTCACAAAGAACTCGTATTAAATATTTAGTAATTTAAATTAGTACCTGGATGACAGAGATTTGATAGGAGTTTTTTTTTGGTATTTAAAAAAAATGAAATCTAGGTAGATCGAT